AACTAAATTTCTCCACCGAAAGCGGATTATTCAGAATGATATCTGTTGATATTGATAGTTTGGTTTTCTTAAGGAAACAAAATCTCTCCCAACTAATGCTGTGAACTACACAGGGATCCCTCTCATTTGGTGCATTACTATAACATTAGACGTTATAATTAACAACAAAGCACAAACTATTATATTCAACCGCTGTTTATTTTTAGACGTAGTTATCACACTCAAATAAAAATGTTAGTATGCAACTTAATTTGACATAAGGAAGTTTTCATTAAAAAATTGATTTATTCAAACATATGTATAATTAACAGTAAATAAGCTCCCTCTAGTGTTTTATAGCTAACTAAAGTGACGTTAAGTAAAATGGTTTTATTTGACGTCATTCTTTCAGTTGAAACACAGATTCCTCAATTACACAAGACGTTAAGTTGTTCTGTGTCTTTCAACACCTTCTGCTGTTCTGACACGTTTATTTTGTGCTATAACTTGTATTAAAGACTCTTGCTTGAACTGAAGCTGCTATAGTGATCTGACACGCTACATTTAAGAGCATCAAAACGGCATTTATTTGAATTTTGCGATAAAATGGACAGGATTTGTGAGCTGAAGCTTTGTTTTTTTCTTTGTAAAAATGGAAAAAGCTCTTTGCGATTATTGGATGGGAGGTGGCTACAAATAATGTATGATCTGGCAACCCCGACTCGAACTACAGGTGATTCATAGCGTCAAACCAGTTAACGCTATTTATTTAAAAATTAGATTGCGTTAAAATATTATTTTCGCATTAACTTCGACAGCCCTAAATTCTACACGAGAGATTTTGTTACCCCTTTACAATTTGTTAACTTTATTTAATGCATTAACTAACATTAATGAGAAATACATTTGTTACAGTATTTATTAATCTTTGTTAATAAAAATACAACTGTTCATTGTTAATCCATGTTAGCTCAAGACCATTAAATAACATTAATACTTATTATTAAACTTTTCATTTTAATGTATTTTTCATTGTTAGTTTATGTAAACAAATGTAGTTAACTAATGTTAACAATCAGAACCTTATTTATAAAGTGTTACCGATATTTTCCTCCGAAATGAGTTGCAGTCCGACACGTTTTCCGCCGTTTTGATTGACAGTGATTTATATAGGCATTTAAAAAACTAATAAAAATGACAGAAATATGCAACAAAATAACTGAAACTTTACCTAAAGTTACTAATTCTAAATATAGCATCTCAAAAATACTAAAATAATAATGCTGCTTCCTCACCAGCCCCTAAAAAACCTAAGTTAACAAATGTGTGTGTAGACACAATTAGAGCTGTCAAATTTTTTTTTGAATTTAGAATATTCGTCGAATTAAAAAAAATGTTGCATTCGAATTGAAGGTCTGCGTCAGCCGTCAGGCAGCCGTATCAACGGCGCACGAGATGCGATGACGATGTGTGTGTCTGCTACGGGATGGGCTGCTACGTTGTTCATTCATATACTGCAGAAAACGAGAGCATCAGTGTGGAGATGTTGTTTACGTCAAAACTGAAACCAAGCCGTTCACACAGAACGCATATTTATCACATTTTCTAGAGGGACATCTATCAGCGTTGCACTCGCGTCTCGCACAAGAGAGCGGCATGTTTAGAAAGACATGTAAAATTAATGCAAGTTCAACTTTTAAAAAACAAAGACGTTATGGCGGTTTTGCACTGACCTGCTGGGTGACGCTGGCCATCTGAACCATGTTGAACTCTGTGTTCTCACTGGACTCTCTGAGCATGATGAAGGACGCGGCCACACGAGCCAAACGCCAGAACGGCTGCATCTCCTCGCTCATGTTACCGTAGCTGTCTGCAAGCAGGGCAGAGAGAGAGGCTGTTGCAGTGCATTGTGGGACTGTCGTGTCAGATGTAGGTTAGTTTAGGTGTTGGTCACACCTGGTATGTCGCGCGCAGAGACGGCGCTGTCAGGCGGGATGTGTTTCTGGTAGAAAGCCTCCTCCTCCTGCACGGTGCGGTTGATCTGCTGCAGAGCCTCACAGCGCAGCTTCACGTCAGGAGCACTGTGCCGCTCCGTCCGAGGGAACAACACGTCCGCTGAGCACCGCAGCGCTGGGCCCTGACACACAACAACCACCACTCGACATATTACTGACCGAAAGCTCGGCGCCGGAAGATTTATAATGTTACAGTAGATTTCCATTTTGAAATAAATGCTGTTCTTTTGAACTTTCTATTCATCTGTGAATCCTGAAAAATAAAATGCATCACAGTTTCCACAAAAATATTGTGCAGCACGACTGTTTTCAACATTGATAATAATCAGAAATGTTTCTCGAGCAGCAGATCAGCATATTATACTGATTTCTGAAGATCATGTGACACTGAAGACTGGAGGAATGATGCTGAAAATACAGCTGC